CTCTATCTTAAAAATAAGCTTAGTGTGATGTTGTATTAATAAACAACTCAAATATATTTTTTACTTTTAGAAATTCTTTTCTATAAATAAACTCAAGAGCAGTTTTTATTCCTTTGTAATTATTTAGGCTTTCTCTTCTCTATTCATTGATTCATTTAACAGGTGTTTATTGACATATGGTCTGCAAGGTCAGGAATTCTGCCAGGGTTTGTTCACTATATATCACCAGTGTCTAGCATAGTCACTGGCAAATGCTAGATGCTTGAGGTTTGTTGAGTGACTAAATGAACACACGGATAAAGGAATACCTATGTTTGCTTGAATTATAAGAAATTTGACTTTTTTTTTTTTTTTTTTTACCACAAATGCAGCAATGTTATATGGTTCAACACTAATTACATAAATGAAGTGCTGGAGACACAATAATTCAGACATAATATTATCTCTCTAGAATTTTATGGCCTCTTTCTCAGAGTGTTAATGCATTTATGGAGGCTAACAATATGAGTTCCAAAATCAAACTGGGTTCACCCAGGTCCCTTCATTCCTAACTATGTGATCAAAGACAGATCACTGCATCTGTATCCACTGTAAAATTGTATAGTACCTTCTCTCATGGAGCTGATATAAGTATTGAGATATTACAGGATATTGCAGGCAAATGCTCCAGTACCTGGCACCTAGCAGGCAATCAGTACATCTTAGTTGCTGTTTCTACTATTAATATTACTGAAAGTTTAGTAGGTGCCAGGCCCTGGGGTGTAGTCTTTTCTTTCTATGAGTTAGCAAGGATATAGAAAAGGAAACAGAATATAGTATGATGCTTGATAAGACTCCCTAGCTTGATAAGAGTCCTCTGGAAGCAATGCTTCACCCAGAATCACAGGGACATCTTCCTAGAGGAGGCCATATCCAAACTGACAGCTGAAGAGAGTAGGACTCAGCCTAGATTGGGTGGGGTTAGGGGAGGGACAGGGTCAGGGGATAGTGTTGAGAGGCAAAGGAAGCAGCACAAGCAAAGTCATGGGTGTGAGAGAATGTGGTCAGCAGAGTAAGAGGGATATGGAGAGATCAAGTGGTGCAGGGAGAAGTAGGCTGAGCTCAGGAATTGAAGGGCCCTGCTCAAGAGCCTGCAGGGGTAGGCCTCAGTTTTGCACTTGAAGAAAACCATCTAGAACTGGTGAGAATGGTTTTTGTTGAGATAAAATGAGGAGACCAGCAAAGAGGTTGGTGTAATACATTATGGGAGAGCTGTGCCACTGCAGACAGAATCTTGGGAAACCCCATATTTTGGGAACACTGAGGAACTGTCACTGTTATTTGCTAAGGGCTTTGTTAAGTATAGTATAACTCTAAACCATATCAGTATAGTGTAAGTTCTAGCAATTGTTAAATTTGCAATAAAAGGAGTGGAGGATGGATGGGCTAAAAAAGAGCACCCATACTTAGCTTATTCCAAAATTCCTTTTATTGCCTGCACAGATTGCCATATATTTTATTCTTTGGTATTCTGTGAGTTAATTCCCTCAAATGATTTACATATGTAAGTAATTTGGCCCTCTAGGAGATTTAGAATCTAGGAATTAGAGTAAAGAGTAAAACATCTCAAAACAAAACAATCTACAAAACCACATTGCATAGGGAAGGCTGTTTTTATTCTTGATTTTTACTGTATTCTCATAATCTTTGAAACTATGCAATGTTGTAAGATGTTGCACTGCTCCTGATAGATGAGACAGACTAAAGTCATTTATTCATTCAACAAATAATTGAATACCTCCTAGGTCAGTGATGGCAAACCTATGACACGCGTGTCAGAGGTGACACGCAAACTCATTTTTTTTGTTTTTCTTTGTTAAATGGCATTTAAATATATAAAATAAATATCAAAAATATAAATCTTTGTTTTACTATGGTTGCAAATATAAAAAAATTTCTATATGTGACAAGGCACCAGAGTTAAGTTAGGGTTTTTCAAAGTGCTGACACGTCGAGCTCAAAAGGTTCACCATCACTGTACCTAGGTATAAAGTGTAAAGCAATGAACAAAACAGATTGTTCCTGCTATCATAGAACCTACATTCTAAAGGACGGCATGTTGTATTATCTTGATGAAAAATGATAAAAACATATTTTTTATCAAAGTATTTTATTTTTGGCATAAGATTGTAGTGTAGGAAAATTAGGTATCAGATATCTTTCTCATTTGTTTCCCAGATTATGAGACACAGTATAGTGTTGTGAGGATTACATGAGAGTTAGAATATTACTAATGCTTAGGATATAGTGCTTAATTTATGTTAACTATTATTATTTACATTATATGATAATGGACTTATATTGCTAATGTTATTGGCTAATGTAGATTACCTCTAATTTACCTCTTAATTCCCATCTAGAAGCTCCATCTGGTAGCCAGACTATCATCATTGTCTTGCCCAGACTTTAGCAGTAGTCTCCTACCTGGTCTATCTGCATTCTTTCTCTGTCTACTAAATCTATTTTTCACCTTGCAGTCAGAGTAAAATTTATGCTGTTAAATTAGTTTCCTATTGCTTCTGTAAAAAATTTCCATGAACCAAGTGGCTTAAAGCAATAGAAATTTATCTTACACTTCTGGAGATCAGAAGCCCCAAATCATTCCCAGTGGGCTAAAATAAAGATACTGACAGTGCTATGTTTCTTCAGGATGCTCTAGGGCAGTGATGGCGAACCTTTTGAGCTCGGCGTGTCAGCACTTTGAAAACCCTAACTTAACTCTGGTGCCTTGTCACATATAGAAATTTTTTGATATTTGCAACCATAGTAAAACAAAGACTTATATTTTTGATATTTATTTTATATATTTAAATGCCATTTAACAAAGAAAAATCAACCAAAAAAATGAGTTCACGTGTCACCTCTGAGATGCATGTCATAGGTTCGCCATCACTGCTCTAGGGATAATCCATTTATTTGGAATTTTCAAGATTCTACTTGTGGTCCTGAATCTCTCTGTTATCACACCTTCCTCTTTGACTCACCTGCCTCTCTCTTTCACATATAAGGACTCATGAGTATATTGCACCCACCAAGATAGTCGAGGATGATCTTTCCATCTCAAGACCCTTCATCACATCTGCATCATTTCTTTGGTGTGTAAGGTTACATAGTCACAGGTTTTGGGAGCTAGGGGATGGACATCTTTCGGGGGCCTTTATTCTGCTACCATCATGTCATAGAACAGTGTCCAGAACATTGGTGGAAATAAGTTAGTTTGTTAGTTTATTTATTGCATGAATGTCTTCTTATGAATTAAGCTTTCCTATGGGTTCCTAATACTTTTAGGATTAAAGACATAAGCCTCTACCTTGGCCTGGGAGGTCCGCCTGGCCTCCCCAGCCCTGTGCTTTCCTGGGCCTCCATCCACATCAAGCTCTTTTCCCCCGCTTGCTCATAGAACTCCGTTTCTTCCCAGCTTTTCAGGACCTTGCAGTGGCCTCTGCTTACACCAGCCCTCTCTCCCTCCCTCCAAACCCTGTTGCTTGTTTTCCTGCCACTCTCAGCTTGGATGGTAGAGCAAACTCTTCTTAAAGGGGCATCATCTTGAACCTTTCTCTGCTGGTTAAATATTCTACTTGTACATAGTCCTGGAGCCTGGCCTGCTCTTTCATAGCACTTGATCACAACTTGCAATTGTTTATTAGTGTTCTTATGTGTTTCATCTGTAAGCTCTGTGAAGGCAGTGACTATTTCCATTGTATACTCAATGCTGATAATTTATTTGGTGCTCAGTAAATATTTGTTAAGGGAATGGACTTAAAATGAAAAGACAGCATGCCTGTTGAGTAGCTCTTGGTTCTGTTCATCAGTGTAGTATTCTTGTAGCCTCAGGCAGAATGGAGTTTTGGGTTATGCAAAGGATTTGTTCAATAACAGACAGTAGGAGATTGATAATTATTGAATAAAGCAACTCAATGTTGTTCATTCATTTTTTTCAATGAAGTGGAGAGTTAATTTCACTACTTAGTACTTTTAAGACCCCTCTTCCATCTCTTTAAAACTATGTTTGACTTAGACATATAGAATCTCATAGACTAGTGATTCCATTAAATTTTAAAGTGGACTTCATTCAGAGTTGATGTCATGGTTCAGAGGGCGTTTTCCTGGCTTAGGCCTGTGGGCTGTGGAACATTGTGTCTAAAATGACATGACCCACTGTTAGCACTGGTGTTCAAGAGAAGTCTGCCAAACTTCTTTAACGCAGCCATCACTCAATGTATGCCAGTGGCTCTCTTTTAAGAAAATGTTTTACAACAGGAAAAAAAAAGTTTTATATTTTATATCTGACTCAACAGATTAATTTCTTTTTTCAATTTTATATTTTACTAAATTATGAGTTTTCCCCATTTTATTCAAGCTGGATTTATATTTATATTAATTTAATTATAGTTTCCCCATTTAAGCTACAGTATTTCACCCTGATGTCGGCAAAGTTTGAGTTAGCTATCCAGCTTTGTTGTCAGTTCAGTGAACTTTCTAGAAGAAAGAGACAGAGCTTTTGGAATTTAAAAGTGCTTTGACGGGTTCCTATTCTATGAGGAAAAAAATTATTTGGAGAAAATCAATTTAAAAGCATATTCTTGTTATATTCTTTTTTCTCTACTGATTAATATTATAATTATTTAAATTTAACTTTTAAGACAGAAATCTATGCTATATATCTATATACCATATCTATCTATTTTCACTCTATAGATAATTTCACACTAAATATTGTGAAATACTATGTTTATATCTGTCTGTTTCTATATAGTGTGACATAGTCACTGATGTTTTATTTTTTAATCTCTTTACTAAACTTGATAAAAATTCATAAAACTGATTAACTTTCAGTTCTTAATCTTTCTATGAAGATATACTAGTACTTCCTAAAATTAATTTTCTGTTATTAGCTTAACTTTAGTTGTTGCATCCAAATCAATCTATATAAAATGTGTATGTACTTTCCTTTTAGAGTATGTTGGATAAAGGACATTGTTGTGTCAGTAACTAGAGACAACATGGAAGCAATGAAGGGTATTATTCAGAAGTACCAGCATAAGCGCATCTCACTAGTTGAAGCTGGAGTGACCCGCCACAGGTCAATATTCAATGGACTAAAAGCTCTGGCTGAGGACCAGCCAGACTCCAAGCTCTCGAAGCCGGAAGTAGTGATTATCCATGATGCTGTGAGACCTTTTGTGGAGGAAGATATTCTCCTTAAAGTGGCCACAGCTGCTAAGGAACATGGGGTAAGTATTTATACTTATGTGAATGGATAAAAGAGGCAAACACTATATAGAGTGGTTCATTTGCTGAGTTTTGATGGAATTACTGGTGGCCCAGTGCAAGAAATTCATGCACATTAAAAGGGAATTAATTAGAGGAAATTATATCATATCTTTGTTGTTGTTGATGTAACAAAACAACAAAGATATGATATAAAAACAACAAAAACATGATGCAAAAACAACACTGATGCAAACAGTCATTTGTGAAAAAGCTAGGAGGTTACCAATCATTTTTCATTTGTGAAAAAGCCAAGAGGCTCCCTCTTCCCTCCTGTCAGGGTCCGGGGTACAGGGGAATGGGATTCCTGGCTGGCAGGCCCTTGAAAGCAAGCTGACCAACGGCTGATTATGCGAGGAAATGGGGCTCCCTCCTCCCTCCTATCAGGGTCCGGTTTGAAGGCCGGCCATGCCCCCAATCGTGCAAGACCCAGAGTTCCGCTGCGCCCAGCCGGGGCCAGGAGGGAGCTCCCTCCCACAGGCATCCTGCTGTTCGGTTGTCCGTCCGTCGTTTAGGTCATAACGGCCCCTGGCTTTTTACATATTAGGATATTTAAATGTGAAATTATTAAAATGGGCATGATGATCTGAAGAGGTTAGGGTAATTTGTTTTAGGAATTTTGTAGATTGCGAGATTGTTCTGGAATTTATCTTTGCTATAGTCATTTATCCTCATCATGTAATATGAGCTATTTGGAGAAGAATGTAGTAATAATGTCATCAGAGTAGGAAAAATGTCTAAGAAGTCAGTCAAAATTCCAATATGTATGATGAATGTGTGTGTATATATTCTAAATTTCCTTGAAATGGTTAGGATAGTGATCCAATAGCTTCAGGAAATCCAGGCACTACTTCCTGCCAACCCTCATACTGTTCTAATCATAAAAAAACATAAATGCAATTAATAGAAACTTATCCTAGTAATTGAAGTTCTTATGTTGGTGGGAAGAATTGGCATCTTTTATAACCACTGGCCAATAAATTGCAAAATATTGGCCTGAATCAAATACTATCTAAGGCAAGAAAAGAGTGATGACTGTTTAGTCAGACACTTTACAATTTCTTTTCCATGGATTCCTTGTCCTTTGTTCTCATACATTGTGTTCTATAGACTCTGAACAGATTTTCTTCTTTTCTTTGCCCCAAATTTTCAAGCTCTACCAAAAGGTCCTATTTAGATAAATCATTTTCTAAGTAAGCTACACAGTGTGACAGCCCCTGAGGTGGTATACATGCTAAAGATAACTATGATTTTTTAACTTATATTACATTTTGGATAAAACAAGACAAATTAATGTAGATGTATTAATTACCTCAAGAGACTAAGATGTCCAATATTAAGGCTAACATTAGAGTTGCCTGCATACAGGAACTCAAAAGTATCACAAGGACACAATTTCACTCTCTTCATTGTGTATGCACCCTTCTTGGGTTCCACAGATTCGATAGGACCTCAGTAGGACCAGCAGTGAAATTCTTTTAGTGTTTGTTCATCCTTACTCTTGATGATAGTTTGTCTGGGTATACAAATTCTAAGGCTTCAGATTTTAACTCCCAATACTTTGAAAATATAGGATATAATTGTTTCCTGGATTTTATCCAGCTTTTGGAAGTCGGCTAACTATGAAAAGACATGTATTTTGTGTGCTTTTACTTTTCCTCCCTTTCTCTGACAGTAGGCCTCAACATGTCTTCTCCTGAAATCCCTGTGCTCCTGTTCTCCCCATCCCAACATCTCTCCAAGGTTTTTTGATGTTACAGTTTAGACACTATCTTGCTTGCCACAACTCTGCAGACCTACCCATGGATATTGTATTTATCTAAGAATTCTATTTGCCTAGGACCTTTTGAGCACTGGTTTATGGTACATTTTACTGAATTCTCACAAAACCAGGTCCCCTTGAATTGGGTTGCTTTCTAATATTTAAAACAAGGGATTTTTGCATCTGATAGCAGGCTCCACACTGTAATTTCTTTCTATATTTGAACATTGATGAGGGTCTCTCAAGCTTGGCATGACTAACATTTTGGGTAACATAACTCTTTGTTGTGGGGGCTGTCCTGCACTGTGGGGTGGTTAGCAGTATCCCTATTTACATCCCCAGCCCCCACACCAGTTATATGGTGGGTAATAAAGTTACAGGGTTAGAGCATAATTAACCATAATATTACACATGATTTTGTCCTTCTTTCTCCCCCCGCCCCATTTTATTGATGTATCATGAACATACAGCACTAAATAAGTTTAAGGTATACAGCATAACGTCTTGACTTAACATAGGTTGTGATCACCACCTTATTCCTTTTCTTAAGGTAAATAGTTGTCTCTGTAATTTAGTGAGCAATTGGGTATGATGTCAGTTTAAAAATGGTTCTGGATATTTTGTTTCTTGAACAGTTAAAGAACTTTAGTAGTGGTAGAATCTTACAGAGGGCTTAAAATCAAAGGTTTATGTAGACCTCCTTACTCGTATAGGAAGAATATACATTTCTTCATTAAACATTAACTAGTTTTTACTTAGAAAGTCTTTGAGTCATCTTCTAAAGAGAAACTGAATTATATATTATAACCAGAAACGTTGACATGTGGTGTGTGGGTATGTTTGTATGTGATCTGTTTGGATTCTGCAGCATGACTGTATTTATCAATGATTGATAGCACTTTGGAAATTCTATTAAGTTTTATATGTGTGCATCAGGAAGAATGTACTTTCCTACCACTCAATTTTACAACTTTGTGCAGTATATTCTGGGCATGTTCTAAAATAGAGATGGAAAATTACTTAGTGGAAATTTGACATTGGGATGAGGTGACCAAGGCTAATAGTCACTTGTTCTGAACTCTGTTGGATGGTTTTGATCATGAGAAAGTGCACTGAAGGGCAGAGTTTAGTCCTGGGTGGGGTTCAGGTAATGAGCTCCCCTGGGTCATTGGATCTTGTGTCATTATCTATTATCTATTGGAGAGACACTTTGGTGTTGATTTAAGTCCTAGCTGTGATGAATCACTTTTATTTGTGAGTAAGCAGTGAGTTCTGATTTAGTGGTAAATTTTAGACCTACTTTGATAAAGATTTAAATGCCATGGAATGAGTGAAACTTGATTTGTTTCTGATGCTGGAGAAGATACTGTGTGAAAAAGCTTTTGTTTTACTGCATTACTTGAAATTACCAACCCCTATATATCTGTTCAATGAATTACTTAAAATGAAGTTGGAGAAGGGGTAGATCAAAGCAAGATGAGTATATGTAGGGATTAAAATGAAATAAAGCTTATTACATACATATCCAAGTGTGACATACCTGGTCATATTAGATTTAAGGTAAATGTTTCTAGCTTAGCTTCCAAGAATTAAAATTCAGTAGTATGTAAAATGAAGAACTCCTTATTCCTTTCTGCTATGTATTTACTTTTAGGGGTATTTTGCAGTGATATAGTAACTTGGACAGAGGTTTTTCTAAAATACCCATATTTCTATATTGAATAAACAATATATTCTTTTATTTTGTCAAAAAGGAGGTTGGAAGTATTCTATTAGAAAATATCCAGAATCTTATAATTGCTAATGATTAGCTTTGAAGATCTTATTCTGTAAATATTTATTAAGTAGTGTTTCAATAAAGACAAATCAGCTAATTGAAATTGTAATTACAAGGTTGGAGGATTTCTGATATACATTGTCATAATTAGCTTGAATGCAGATGCCTGAGGAGTAATGCCTGTTAGCACCTGCTGTGTGGATGGATGATTAGCATTGTTCAATTTTGCTTTAAAAGGTGAACAGTAGAGGTGGGGTTCATTATTTCCACATTGTATGATTTATATCTATGCTGATTTCCATGCATTGACATGTGGAAATACTTTGATAGATTAGCCTGAGAGGCAAGTAATCACTGTGGTGCTGAGCTGTTAAGCTTCCATTCAGGCTTATTATACTAATTCCCAAGGAGACAGTGTATTTGATCACTTGGGAATCATACTTCAGGCTCCCCAGATCGCTGCATTTGGGAGGCAACCAACCATCTTTGTCCAAACTTGTGTCATAATTTGATGCTTTGAATTTCAGAAAAGATCATATAATTGAGGATTCATTGCATGTTTATTTCTGAACAAATGTCCCTTACCAGGGAACTAGATATAGAATACGTGTCTATTAGCATTAGCATCTTTCTTCTATACTGTTTATACCAGATAGCTGGAATAGTAGTCAGAGAAAAGAAAGGTCAACAAAGGAGTTATTTTCACTTGTGGCCCTTTTTCTGGGCCTTTTGTTTAGTAAGACCCCGGAAGCTGGTAATTGCCTGTGTTTTCGATTGTCTTCATATTGTACTCTTTCTAAATGATATTTTGGATTCCATAGGTAAGGACTTACTAATTCTTGGAATTCACCCATTCTGCCATGACATCTCAAATATGTATGATTTCTGGTCTCAAGAAGTTAGTTTTTAATAATAAAAAATGAGAGTCCATAAATACACATTTTAGAAATTTTCTTTTTAAAAATACTGAAAACATACAGAAAACTTTGGACACCTTCAGATCTGTCACTTGGTATAAGGAATCAAACTTTAGTAGTCAGTTTGAAACTGTCCCTGCCCTGATCTTATTTACTCCTCCCAAACGGGTAACACTACCTTGAACTTTGTTTTTATTGCTCTCTTGCTTTTTTTCTTCAGTTTTGTAGCATGTATCCCTAAAAAACATTTGTTATGTTTGTTTGATTTGTTTTTATATTTTTTTTGAGGTATAATTGACATATAATTAACATATATTTGTATGATATTCTAAATCTTATGTTTTGCATATATCTTGACAGCTTTTTTTTTGCACAACATATTTTGGGAAATGTATGCATGTGAATCTGCAGCTATAGTTCATTCATGATCACTGCTTTATGTATAGCAATAACTATAGAAAAGAAAAAAAATTTCTATATTTTGAAAAACTGGCTATTTTAAATCGTGTATTTTATAAGTTTTAGATATGGATCCTCTTCTTCCCACATCCCTAGGAGCTTCCCTAGGAGCTGTTATTTGCTTATTTGTTTGTGACTTTGCTGGTGTATTCTAGTGAAGTCTTTTCCTCCTCTGGTGTCACTTCTCAGAGGGTACCGTCTTGGGCATGTGATCTTTGCAGAGTTCTCTTTGAGCGTCTTCCCTGATCTCTCTGTTATACTGACTGCCACTGTTGACATCACCCCTAATTGATAAGCTTCATTTATTGCCAACTCATTACTCTTTTTTTGCGGGGGGGTGGGGGGGGGTTGCGCAGAGGACAGTGCTCTGAGCATAAATTGCTCTACAGCCTGATCCTTTAAGTTCTGGCCCCTTGGAAGGGCTGGTTTTTGAGGCCAGTGTTGGAGGTTTGTTCTTATCCCAGGGAGGCTCTTGTTGTCTCCCTGGTGTTCTTTGATTAACTAGCCGGCCTGCAGTTTAGCCTTTTGGTCTCCTGTATCTACTGGCCTCCTCTTAATTACTTATCATGACAATCTCATTTCATTTTGGAGTGTCCTTGGGCTTAAACTTCCAAATAAAGTGATTTCCCTTGGGGAACGCTTCATAGCCCTCTGCTCTTTGAGCCTGTCTCTTGCCTTGCGAACAGTCACTGCATCACTACTTTGGAGATGTGGGTGGGCATGATGACTGTTTCTTTCAGACTGATACCCCTACTTCATGAGCAGGGTGCTGCATGGGGGCATTAGGAGACTCCCAGAATTTCTTTTTGGCTCTTCTGGTGTAGAACCTCTGCATTATGTGTGATCTGAGGCAAGAGACATCCAGGCCCCAGTATTCTCTGCCTATCATTTCCGGGGCAGATCCTTACCCTATACGTGGGTGTCTTTAACCTCTTGGCCACACTTGCCTGTTATTTAGCTTCTGTGGGAGACATGGAGCTGAGTAAGATGGGAAATGTTAGCACTCTGCTTCTCCCATTGGGAACTAGGGGGAGAGGGAGCCCCATTTGTTGGCCATACCTATTCTAAGAGGAACTTCAGCCATACTAAACTGGGTGTAGAATGAGAGAAGAAATGGATATGACTTGAGCACCACAGGCTCTCTCTGGTCTCCCCAAGATTTAGAAGATTTTCTTGAATAAAGTTTCCTAATTGCTGAATGCCCTTAGGACAATTTTCAATGGCTTTTCCATGTTTTGTTTTTGAAATAATTTTCACTATTTATAATTTGCTTGGGAGAGAATCTGCGGAGCTTCTCATGTTGACATTTGAATGTCTCATGTTCTCTTTTAAGTAAATTTTTATTTCGTGGCCTGGCATAAAATTAGCTATAAGTAGTTGCAATGGAAATTTAATTTTTTTCTTAAAAAGCAGTGTATGTATATACACGTGTGCACATGTGTTTCTTTCCTGTTTTGTCTTCTAACCCCTACTGATAGGTTTGACCAGTTAGGCTTGTTCCTTACTTACCTTACTTACCTTTCACCTACTTGGACATCACTTCCTCCCTGTCACCCTTGGCTGGTCTCCTCATTTTTATGCCTCGGGTCCAAATTTTTACTTGCGTCACTGGAAATGGTGACACAGTTTGTAAACTGTCTACATGGCTCATACATTAGCTTTGATTTTTAGCCAATCTCTTGGCATTTGTAAACTAGTTCATAGACTGTCTTTCTTGCTCAGATGTTGGTCTTCAGGCCAAATGTGTTGTATTTGTGCTGCAATCCCCCTGTAGCAATTACGTGAAAGATAGGATATTTTGGATACAATATAAGGAGGTTTGGTTTAATTGCCTACCATAGTAACAGTATTTTAAGGCTACTTCTCCAAGACAGCTGTTTGGTAATGACCTCTAAGTCTATATTACAAAGACACTGTATTAAAGCTAAAGGCAAAAATTGTCAGATATGAAGGTGTGTTTTTTAATAAAATTTAGATACCTCTATTAATGAAACAGAGCTTTTATCAGAGCAATTGATATTAATGGATATTTTGCCTGAGGGAGCATTCCACTAATGCTATGTTTGAAGAGAACTGTTTTTCACAGGAATTAGAGCAAAACATAAATTCATTGTTATGTGGGTTGTTGAGTCTCATTTTGGGGATCTTAGGGTATATGTCTGTTTCCTTAATTTTCTAATGTGTAAGTTAAATCTTTTGAAAGCATACTAATTAGTAATTCATGTATAATTCATTTCAGTTCTTTCATATATGTTTCTCTTTCTTCCATCTTTAGGGAATACCCAATTATATCATTGCATCCATTTTTTAGTATTTGACTTCAATGGCCTGTATAAAAAGGATTTTAAACCTATGATGAAGAAAATTTTCTAACTCTTATATATGGAATTGTAATATTATGAAATTGGTTCTTGGTGTGACATGATTTGATTTATGAACCAAATGAATATTTGTTTAGATATTTTCTTGAGGTAGTTTGTTGAAGGTATGAATAACATCTGCTTTCAAAAATAAGATACAGAGTTTAGAATTTGACTTCAAAGTATTTTCTAGGTGAAACAATGTCTTGCTTGCCTCTGTTTGTTATTTAGGCAGCAGGAGCAATTCGCCCTCTTGTATCCACCGTCATCAGTCCATCTGCCGATGGTTGCTTAGACCACTCCCTGGAACGTGCCAGACACAGAGCAAGTGAAATGCCACAGGCTTTTCTATATGATGTGATCTATGCAGCATATCAGCAGGTAAGAATTCTGGCTTTTTTTAGAAAGCTTCTGTGTTGCGGGTCCCTAAGACCACCTCTATATTTGGAGATTTTCTAGAACTCGTGGGTCTCAGTCTATAGTTGTACTCATGGCTTAAGTTGATTACAGTGAAGTAGTGAGGATGCACAGCTGGATCCTGTGAGAAAGAGACATAGGCAGATTCTGGAAGAATCCATGTGCAGGATTCCTTATATTCTCTCCCTCCCCTGAAGGGTAGCACAAACACCACCTATCCTCTCCCCCCCACCCCCCCCCAGCAAAAAAAATGAACATGTGTATGTTGTTTCTCTCCAGGGAAGCCTATTGTAGACTTGGTGTCCAAGGTATTTGTTGGGATTGGTCATGTAGACATCTGCTTACCACATAAAAGTAAAATCCAGATTCTCAGAGGAAAGCAGGTGTTTAACATAAACCATACTGTTTATGCAAACACTCTGGGCACAGAGAGCCACCCTTATCAGTTAACTCTTCACTGGGAATAGTCCAAGAACCAGTTTCCCACGTGCTGGCTGAGGGCCCACCTAGTTAGCAGGTGTTTCTAAGGTCAGCAATCTCAGGCTTTTTGTGATAAATTTGCTGCACAGCTGTGTAGACATTTTGTTAATTACATTTTAAAGGGTAAGTTCTTTGAAAACATCAAATAATTTATTCATGTTGAGATTATAATAGATTACCTTTGTTTTTCATGTTTTGGAAACATTTTTGTACCTATGTAAATTTTGCTGCCATACAGTTATTGAGTAGCAGGTATTATTCTTGTCCAAAACTTCCCAATGAAATATAAGTTAGAGAGACTAACCCAGTGCTTGGTCAATGTTAGACAATCAGTAAGTATGAGATAATAGTAATATGAATATTGACATTTATAATAGAAAAATACTACATATTTTTGATAGAAGGTAGTTAATCACACACATACATTAAATTATCACTCAATCTTGACTACCTGTTACTGTTTTAAAATGAGATTATGTAAATTAGAATCCATCTTAATGATATGAATAGTCAGCCATGGTTTATATTGTTTTCTTAAAATATTGAATATGAAGCATAGGAATTTGCCTGTATTTCATCATTAATCTTATAAATGTTATGCTACTATAAATTTCTTTGGCTTTTTTATCCAGATATTCTATTTTATAGCCTAAATATTGCTGGGCTAGACTATATCTGCCATCTTTCTTGAAATTAATTTGTTATTAAGATATGATAGCTATATCTTAGACAAAAATTTGAATATTATTTCACAATCCTCACATTAAAGTATCATTTTTAGCAGTTTTTTTCTGGAGAATTAAGCCCTGATGCAGCTGGAGCTCCAATAAAAGTTTCCTCCTTTCTGGAACTTGACTGCCTTCTTATCTTGTTACATATTCCTTAGATATTAGGTAAGTGTTCACTTTCCTGCCCTCTGGTCCCCTCCCCAGTCTAGGTTAGGTCAGTGCCCTGTTTTTTTCTGCCCAGCATCAAAATTATAATTAGTTGCTTGGGAAGCCATTTATAAAATACCTGATTCTACTACTAGACTCTGAGCCTTGCAATGGTAAGTGTCTGTAAGAACAAGAGAAGACAAACGATGAGGCAAACAGAGGATACAGAATCAGACTGAAAAGAGGATAGCAAAAACAGTAGGGTTGTTACTTTCTTCTAGTGGTTTGTCCCGAGTTCATGTTATTGAATGGAAAGTAAAGATCCTGGGAAACATTTTTTTTCAGTCTGGTAGATTACTGGAAATCTCTTCTGTGTTTGTGCTTTTCTGGTGGGAAAGTTCAAGGTGGGGAATGGAATGTGTGGGAAGAGGCATACAATGGAAACACTTATTCTGTCATGGGCAGGAGGGCCTCTTGGAGTTGTCAAGGGCTTTTTGTTTTATGTTCTAAAAACCCCGATCTCTTTGTTACAGACTTTGGCAAGAAAATCTGCTTTTAAAAAATAAACAGAAATGAACTGAGACATAGTATTTGTCTCTTCTTGATTTTTTTTTTTTACTGTAGGACTTTGCATGTCAAACCAGGTACTGACTTCTGGAGGGCAGTCAGGAGAGGGCAGGAGCTATAAGGACGTTGAGAAGTTACACAGATGGACACTGAAGACATACATAAGTGACCATCAGTTCCTAGGCTTTGTATGAGGCAAATGCTGACAGACACTAGTACCCAGGCAGTTCTAATTCATCCTCCTCCCAGGATGACAGACAAGCAATTCCATGATCACATAATCTCTATGTGTGCCTAGCAAAGAGATACCATTATTTAATTTAGAGCGAAGAAATAAGTTCAAAATGAAAATCTTTCCGGTTCACTTGAATGCTAAAGGAAATTCCACGAGGCAGAATCAGATGATAAAATAAATGTTGGTCACACTTTGTCATTTGACCTTTTGTGTTAATTTGTGTAGTGTATGCAGTAGCATCTGGGTGGTAGCTTTAGCAGTTCATGGCCAAAACAAAATGGATTTCCTGGGAAGAGCTAAGAACTTTAACTCTTATTTGACACTCTTTTACTTTAGAAAAATTGCAGAATGATGGGCAGAGTATAGTGAGATACTTTGAGGATATACCTTATCATGAAGGAATATGAATTTTAAAGTTTATATAACTTTATTTTTACCTTTTTTGCAAACTGTATCTGTTGTGTTAAGCAGATGACTTAATGAAAGTTTTTCTGTGTATATCTGAATTATGTGCTATTCATCTATGGTAGGTGTTGCTGTGTCAGTTTGGTTAAATCGGGAACTATTTCTCTTGGTTAGATTGTCCAAAAGAGCCGTACGTCTGAAATTTAGAAGGCTGAAGTAAGCAGAATCCATTTCTCCTTTCTTTTTACTATCACAGAAATGCCTGGTGGGTTGCAACCTGTCCTTGCCATCTCGTTGTGTTCCTGAATGCTAGGACCATTGAGTATCACTAGCTCCAGTTCATTACTGGATACTTGGCCGAGACAGTAGCTACACAGAAATAACTGTTCTCGTGGCTTTCCCCTGAAGGTCTCCTTTTAATGGCTGGATGTGCTTACCTAGCCAGGTTGACTAGTCAAGGATGTCTACTCTGATCCTTCAACTTGACTTTCCAGTCTTCACCTTCTCCAGTGACACAACTGTGTACAGTGGCCCTGCTCCCCAGGCTGATACATCATCTAATTCATCCAGAGAGTTGTGTCCATACTATGTCCACTAACATGAACAAACCACTCTGACTGTTGTTGTTGTTTTTGTTTTTTTTTGTTTTTTACCATCACTAATTTTTTTTTAACCTTATTTAGGAAAGAATACATTTTTAGAAGATACACAGGTCTCTTATAAAGTAATACTTTTACATGGTATTTGATGCCAAAGTTGTTTGAGTTTTTAATATGGTTTTCTTTCGGGTGTTGTACAAAGTATTGCCGAAAGAACCAGAAGCAAAATTTTGCTGGCAGGGTTTACTTTTATTGGTCTGCTGCCTAGAATATTGAAAAAATCAAATATAATGACTAAAAGTTATTAAATACTAATATTAAAGCTGGCATGTTTAGGAACCACCTTTCTTGTAGAGAATAACGAGATCTGAAATCTTTCTCTGGGATCCAACCCTTCTAACAACGTGCCTTTCAACATGTACTAAACATTATGGACCTTTAACAAATAAAAATTTAATCATTTCCCTACACGAGATTTCAAAGTTTGTCATTATTTTATGGCCATTATTATTTGCGGGCATTGATATCCTGAGCAAGAGTTTGCTATTTCAAAATATGATCTAGAGATGGAATTTAGCATTATCTGGTCAGTTAAAGAAATATTTTCATACGCTTTTGAATAAACCAAATTTTTTCTAAATTTTTTTAGGACTAGTGGAAATCAGTTTTTTCACTGAGAGTATTTTGGACAAAGACTTATTGTTAGTGAAATTTATATGCACCACTGAATGCCAAGGTGGACATGCACTTCATAAACCTCACAGTAGGTAGTCTAAAACATAAAATAGAGGTACTAGTTCCCTGCTTACAGCACAGCAGGTCCTCAAATAACATCATTTCGTTCAACATCATTTTGTTACAGCATTGATGTGATGCTGTGGAACTTAACTCTTTTTTATATCAATTAGCCCATGGCAATGATTTTCAACTGGTATGCAGCAAGAATTCTTAAAACATGCAGTTTAATTAGGGGCACTGACCTCTTTTCCCTTATATTGTAAATAAAAAAAAATGACAACAGCCTACACAACAACAGCCAGCCTGTGTGAATGAATCAAAATTATACCTATTTTTTGTCAGATCGACAAAAATATATGTTTTCATATGCCACAGAATTTTAATAATTCGTTTATGTGTGCCATGAGATGAAAAGGGCTGAAAATATCTGGCCTCTGGTAAAATTGGTTTCATTATACATTGTTTTGCCACAGTTCCAAGAACTATGACAACATTAAGTGAGGACTTACTGTATTTTCTAGATTCTATGTCAAATCATTACCCAGGGCTCTGGCTCCTAGTAACGACAGAATAGCTTGAACAGCCAACTTTCCAGTTATAAAAATTATAAACCGATACCTATCTGTCTCTATTGAGCGAGACAGAGACAGGTATACAGAGAGAGATATGAGATGTATAAATGTATAGTATATATTTGCATTTGTATGATGGCATTAAAGAGTGACCAAAAATAGGGAAAAAATCAGAAGGGATTAACTGTTCAAGGAAGGGAGTCACACTGGGTAAGGTCCACATTTATACAGTGTGGTTCTCGGCTCTAAACCCACTATTCACTATGCCTTGCTGCATCCGTTGGACATCTTTCCTTTGCCAAGAGGTTTTAAGCTTCATCAGTAGAGGATGCTCCAGGGGCACTGCAACCAGAAGGGGCTTTCCTCCTGGTTTTATTCCTGCTGCCACAGCTGCCACGGGCATGTATCTGTGGCACTGAGTGCCCTTCACTCTTTAGCAGGTGTGTGATGCCAGTTCTGGCCTGCCATTCTCTGCCTGCTGGCTTCTGCCTGC